CTCAGTCCTGCGTGTTCTTTAATGAAGCAATAGGAGAAGATATTCGGTCTCAGTTAATGTAGTTTATTAAGCAGTAAAGGAATAAAATTACAGAGCTCTGGGTCTCAACTTCACGTCCCTGACGAACAACAAAGGTGTGTCAGTTCACGAAGTCTGACCTCCTGTCCTTTCCCTGACCCAGTATATTTGAGCGTAACAGAGTGTCATTGTGCACGCAAGGCATTGTCCTCTTCTCATTGGCAGTTCCACTTCCTCCTTCACCACACCACGCCCCTGCCTCGTGTTAATCTGACTCCTTCCTGCTGGCGGTGGGGGCGTGGTTCCTGTTTTGAAAGACAAAAGAACAACACAACTCCCTACACGTGCTGTACCTTACTATCTGTATATCACTTTCTATTCTTTTTACCATATATGAAACTAATTATCTAAGCATTGCGGTATGTGCTCCTCAGACTTCATGTCTCTTCCTCTCCTGTACTTTTCCACTTCTGCAAAGCAAACACATTAAGATCAGCTGAAATCATCTCAGTATTCTCATTGTTCACACATCTAAAACTTATATAGTGAAACACAACTTATAGTAAAACACATAACATCATTCTATTCCCAACATCCCCCTCTTTCTTGTTGCTCTGCACACCTCTCACTCCTATCGGACCCACCAAGCTGGAGTGAAATTTCAAATAAATTCAAATACTTGTTAATGAAGCTACAAAGCCCAAAAAATGGCATTCAGTACAGCCCTAATAATTTCAGATGCACAGCAGAAAAAGTCAGAGGAATAACCAGGTTTTCTGCATGAATTGGTAATAAAATGTGATCTGATCTTCAACAAAGTCTCAAGTATAGACAAAGATAGAAACATCAACATTTATATCTACCAGGGCTATATTATGGTTTAGAATGTAGTTAGCAGTAATGGTTAAAAAGATGAATTATGACCTATGCTTATTTGATATAATTGAGGATGATGTCCAAAAAGTATGACCTTATCTCTATTTTTATATTTTTTCTTTTTGGTTCCAACAGGGAATCTCAACACCAAAACACTAAATCAGCACAGGAGGTGCTCCTCAATCTTGCATCCCAAATTGACAGTAACCAAGGATGCAGATTCAGCATTAATAGATCTTCAGTATTGGATGGTGCTCTGTGGGGCTTCAGACGAATGTCCTATAATCCCAGGTACCAGATGTGTATCAAGTTTTCAGATGACTTGGGAATGGATGAAGAGGCTGTGGACCTTGGTGGCCCTCGGAGAGAATTTTTACGGTTGCTCATGGAAGCTCTGGCACTGTCACCAACGTTTGAAGGAAGAGACGGCAAGTTGATTTTGGCTTTGGACAGTTCAGGTATATGCCATATTTTTGGTTCCAGTGTATTGACTTTTTTACAATATCCCTTTTCCCAGTCCTAGTTTTGTCCTAGGTTTTGTGCCGTCCATTGTATCTTGTGTTTTGTCTTCCATCCCATGTTTGCTTAAGCTTTAAGAGAAGATCGATATTTTATGGCTGGCCAGGCCATTGCTGCAAGTCTTGTCCATGGGGGTCCTCCACCAGGATTCATTGCACCAACACTGTATTCTCGTCTAGTTGGTGCCAATTCCTCAAAGCCTGTCTTGGAAGACATTGCTGATACAGACCTCTGTGAGAAGGTTAAAAAGGTAAATACATTGTAAATATACACTCAGTTGCCGGTTTATTAGGTCTACCTAGCTAAATCTAATGTAGTCTAATCCAACTATCCTGCAATAAAACTTACATTCATGAAGGTTTTAATGTTCAGTTTTTGTTCAAACTGTTTTAAAGAGGTGTTGATTCAACTGTGATCATTTTGGAGAAGGTAGTTTGTACTGCTAGTGAACTGTATTATGATATTCTGACAGTTTCTATTAATTTGTCCTCCTCATTCATTTCAATCATGAAACCAGTACAAATTGTTATTTATTTTAATGATTCATTTCCTGATAAGGTAAACAATTTGAGTTAGAATTACAGATGTTGAGTGTCTGCTTAATAAATGCAGGGGCAGACCACCAGGTGTAAATAATCTAGATGTCAAATTTCTTAGAATTGTTGCCAATTTAATTGCTGTTCCTGTCTGTCATAATATTAATAGCAGTTCGGCATTGAATGTTGAAGAGCATTCTTTATTGTTAAGCTGAACCAGTATGGTTCAGCTTAACAACTTCATTTTTACTGCATTAAAGTAGACAGAGTGCTACTGGACTCCACGGAGGTCCACGCAGACTAAAAACGGATGTCCGCAAGCCCTGTGCGCGCAAAGCTCAGATTTTATGACCGCGTGGACTCTGCTCCGCGCACCAGTGTCACTCAAAAGACTGCTCGGCATGTATTTTTCACATCGCCATGACAGAAACGTGCAAGAATTGGGGGCAATGTAGTGTTTCACGGACATTTTTACAGGAAACTACAACGCGAAGGTGCGCTCAACTATGGAAGCCCGAATGACTGTGGACATTCCTCGCGGAGTCTGATCCGCCTTTAGTGCGCCCAAGTCTGTGAGCACCTTAAATTAAAACCCTCGGCGCACACTGCAGCACAATCAAACAGATGCGCAACTCAGAATATCAGAAGTGTCTCTGACACCAGACTCTGAGCGGCTCTGAGTGCGCTCGTGGCTCGTTGACGAGGTTAGTGTTGTGTTTAAGGCCTTCCCCCAAAAAATGGGGGGAAAAAAGCTTCGATTTTTTTTTTTTCACAATCGAATCCCGTGCCATCGAACGAAGCTTTGAATTTTTGGGGTCAGCCCTAGTGGTGATGTTTTCTAGTAGCAAAACACTGGCTGCTGATTTATCACACATACTGTTTGCATTCTTGTTGCCGAACTATGTTTTAGTTTATTGGTTCCCTCTTTCTATTGTGTGGTGTTTCTAGGTGTCTGAATGTACATCTTTGGATGACCTAATTGACGCCACTGAACCACTGCAAGATTACCTGGCAAATGCTGGGTGTCTCAAGCCACTGAAATGCATTGACGACAAAAATCTGGTTCAAGATATTCTGATGTTTCAGGTGGTCCACAGAGTCTACGGGGCATTTGAAAGGTTTGTGTAACATTATTGTTCAGAAATTTTGTGAAGTTTTTGTTCCATGGGTATGTGTTATTTTTT